TTCCTCCTTTTGCAGAACTATCAGGACTCCTTAGAGGCCCTTCTCTGGGGACTGGGGATTTAGCTCAGCAGCATAAGCACCTGCCTTGCAAGCAGGTGGTCGTGAGTTCAATCCCCAGTATTGATTTTTTTAAAAAGTACCTTCTCTGGTAGCTTGAATGACAGTGACACTCTGGTCCTGGGGTTCTTTAAAACATGATGTTTACATATATCACTCAACTGCAAATGTGCTCTTCCTAGGAGCTGAGCCTATGACTCAATAGCAAAGCATATGCTTAGCATCCATGAGTGTTGGGGTTTAATTTTAGCCCTACAAAAAGCAAAAAGAAAGTAAGAAAAAAATGCTCTCCTTAGCTGGCCACAATGATCTGAGCTTGGAAGTGTCCTTGTGGGACTTTAGCCCGTATAAAGAGCACAAGAGACCTCAAAGAAGAATCTAGACACAGCCAGGTGGAAACCCCAACAGCTCCCTCAAGAGATTCCTGCCCCAGTACACACTGGAATGCGCCTGGAGTGGTGTGGATGAGGGTACAGTCACTGAGAGAAGGAACGAAGGAGCGGAACCTACGCTCACTAAGGTAGATCTGGCTTTGAATATTATTTATAACTCTTTTGTCAAGTACTGAACCCCTCTGAGCTTTATTTACCCAATCTGTAAAATGGAAATATTTTGTTTAGATGTGAAATGCCTCCAGAAGGCCCATGTGTCGAAGACTTGGTTCCCAGTGCAGTGATATTAAGAAATAAGGCCTTTGAGAAGACTGGATCGTGAAAGTTCTGAGCTCTCAATGAATTAACCTATTTATGAGCTCACAATTTGGTGAGCTGTTATGAAATGATAGAAACTTAGAAGATGGAACTTCTATTTGAGGGAGTGGACCCTTGGGGACCATGTCTTGTTCCCAGCCCCTTCCTTTCTCTGATTCCTGCCTGCCACAAGGCGAGCCACTTTATTCCACCACAAGTCCCCTCACTTGTCTCATCATGGGCCCAGAAGCAATAGAGCCAAATGACCATGGACTGAAACCATGAGGGAAAAACACATCTTTCCTCCTTTAAGTTGTTTCTCTCAGGTATTTGTCACAATAATGGAAATCTAATAGAGAAAATTGGTATCAAGAAGTGAGACTGATTTTGTGACTAGTGGCCCAAATCTTGTCTACAGATTGGTCATTCCCTGAGGCTTTATAAGAGGCTAAATTTAAAGGTTACAGTTTAGTTCTTCTGTTGGAGGACATTTCAGGAGAACATATTATACTGGGACATCAGAATTACTCACTGCTTTCAACCAGAATTACTGGGAGAATTATGAGCAAAAGCAGAGCAGAAAGATCTGAAAAACTTGCTGTTAGGTGAGAAAAGAATGTATTTAAAATCAGAGCCTAGGAAAATATGATTGCTGAAAAAAATAATGCCATTAAAAAAAACCAAGTAGCCAGGTGTGATGGTCCCTGCTTGTAATCCCAGCACTTGGAAGGCTGAGGCAGGAAGATTGTGACTTCAAGGCCAGCCTGGGCTCCATAATGAGGTCAAGTCCAGCAGGAATTACATATTGTGACCCTGTTTCTCAAAAAAAAAAAAAAGTTGATTTTCCATGATTTTTTTCCTACTATGCTCAGCCACCTACGCACTCAGAGGCCTCTGCAGCCATGGTCTCAGGGGCCTAGTTATTACTCTGGCTGGTAGTAGACCTCGGTGTCATCCATATGAGGTTGATTTTGCAGGCATGCAGAATGTAAGAGTTGAGAGGTTGTGGAGGCTTCTATTGAGATTTCAAAGAAAAGCCTGGGAGGGCAGGCAATGTGTAGCAAAATCAGAGTCCCTGCAAGCAGCAGCAGAGAGGCAGTATGCAAAGTTGTGAGTGTGAAGCTGAATTAGCTATGTAGCCTCCAGAAAGTTTGAGATGCCAGGAATGTAGAATATCTATCAAGCAAAGCTGCACATAGTAAGCAGAGTCAGAGAGAGAGAAAGAGAGAGAGAGAAAGAGAGAGAGAGAGAGAGATCATGTGGGCTGCAACCAGCAAGACCTTAAAGTAAGGGCTGCACAAACAGTTTGAAGCTCACATCCCTCTAGCATATGCCCTGGATGCTGGACAAGGATTTAATATTTACCCTGCTGGGTTTCAATCTTGCTTTGGTCCTTGGTATTCTCCAGTGCCTCTCTTTCGGAATAGAAATGTTTACCTGGTTCCAACATTGCATGCTGAGTATATGTAATTTGGTCTTTTATTTTTACTGAGGCTCACAGCCAAGAGTTTGCTTTGAGTGTCAGAGGAGATCTTGGACTTGGAATTTTGAGCAGTCCTGCAACTATGAAGATTATCAGGAGTCTTGGAGATGAATTAAATATGTATTTTGTGCTATGAGATGGTCATGAGCCTTTGGGAGCTAGGGTTGAAGAATTATGATTTGGATATGAACTGTCTCCTCAGGGCTTGGTCCCTCCTGAAGAAATATTCAGAGGTGAAATTGGGAAAACAGATTAGATCATAATCATGAGGGCTCTGATCTCATCAATAGTTTCATAATCCGGGGAGGATGTGAAGTGAGGGAGTGAGACCTACCCAGAGGGAAGATCTTGGGGACATCTCCTTGGGGTCTCACTATATAGCTCAGGTTGGCCTTGAACTCACAGTGATCCTCCTCCTGCCTCAGCCTCCCCAATGCTGGGATTACAGGTGTGCCTTACCTATGTTATTCTTTAATTTAGGGATAAAAACCACATGCTTTTCAGGAAGGGTATGAGGGTTTTAATGGAATAATAGATAAAAATTATGTTTATCATAGTCACTAAACCAAAGTAAACACTCCATGGGACTTTTTGGGGTATCTAAATGCATGAGTAGATGGATGGACAGACAGGCAAGTGGTGGACAGAAGGATGAGTGAGTAGGAGGACTGCTCACTGGCCATGTGATGTCCTGGGCAATGTGATTTGTTTTATAGAAATACCAAGTCTGGAGCTGGGCATGGTGGTTCATGCCTATAATCCCAGCACTCGGGAGGCTGAGGCAGGAGGATCGCTGCGAGTTCGAGACCAGCCTGGGCTACAAAGTGAGCTCATGGCCAGCCTGAACTGCATAGTGAGACCCTGTCTCAAAAAGACAAAAAAACAAGTCTGCACAATCCCCGGTGCTTTCCGAAAGGTTTTATTGTATCTCCTGTGGCCTTACTCAAGCACAGGTGAGTAAAACTAAGTAGAAACACACCCAGTTCTAGTCTAGCGTGACCTGCCCTTATCCGATCTAGTGTTTATGACTCATCTCGAGGAAACCTGGCCTTGCAGGAGTGGAGGGTTCTCTGGTTGAGTTTGTGGCAGGTCCCTGGGGCAAAAGAGGAGGAAGCAATCGGGGGAAATGAAAGGTAAGGTGTTGTTGGTACACAGGATGCCTTGGAAGCCCCCATCCGTGAGGTTTCATGAACAGAATTACAGCTTAGATTTTCATATCATCCCTGACACCGCCACCGGAAGAGATGCAGATAAACACCCAATGCTGTAGTTCTGTTCTGTCCTGTGCAACTTCTATGATACCTTTACCCCTCGGGCCCTTATTCCTCTTAGCAAGATGAAGGGAATGGACCCTCTCGGTCCCAAAATGTTCTAGCTTTCTGAAAATTTTTTATATCTTCCTTTGATAGATGGTCATAGAGCATCCCCTTTGTCTCTAGAAAGATTCCTTATCTTTGAAAATAAGTGTATACCTATGTAATGCATGTTTATGCTACACCTTGGGGAAGCTGTACACTCTGATGACAGGCAGATGTCAATTCTAGGCAGTGTAGAAGAAACTGGATTCAAGTTGGGTGTGGTGGCACCTGCCTGAAATCCCAGCATTTAGGAGGTGGAGGCAGGAGGAATCATTGCAAGTTTGAGGCCAGCCTGGGCTACAAAGTGAGCTCAAGGCCAGCCTGAACTGCATAGCGAGACCCTGTCTCAAAAAGACCAAAAGGAAAGAAAGAAAAATAGAGGAACTGGGCTCATAGAACATTCCTGCCCCACAGAGTAGGGAAGGCAGACCCTGACATGCATGTTAAAATGCTGGGCCTTCCCAGCCCTAAAATGTTGCCTGGAGGAATTTGAGTGCTCTGGGCAAAGTCAAACAGAACAGAAGCCTGACCAAACCAGGCAAGGTTACAGGGTAAATAAATGCAGCTGTATTTGGGGTGGCAATGAGATTACCAGGGCTGGAGCAGGCTGTGACCTTAACACTTAAGCTTAGGGTGCCGAGGGGGCTTGGTTGCAGGCCACCCCTTACACATGCCAAAATCCTCGGATGATCAAGTGGCATAATATTTGCAAACAATCTCCCTCCTCACCTCTTTCTAGATATTTTAAATCATCTCTAGATCACTTATGATCGCTAAAGTAAATAGCTATCAGACTGTATTGTTCAGAAAGTGAGGACAACAGGAAAATCTTGTATGTGTTCAGTACAAACACGATTTTATTTTTCTAACATTTTCAACAAGCAGTTGGTTGAATCTGGGAATATAGAGCCCATCGATACAGAAAGCCAACTGTATGCTCTTCCCACACCCCAGCAGCCTGGGTAGAAGAGCCTAACCTATGAGCTAGGACAACAACGGGGTAAGAACAAGCCCTTATCTCAGAACTGCCACTCATGGTTCAGGGAAGAAAGGGGAGGGGGGAGCAGAAACAAGTTAAATCACGTACAGGGACAAATTCTCTGAAGAATGGGACCATTATGTATATCTAAAATGTACCAGTAAAATCTAATTTAAAAAAAAGAATTGTCAGTCGTTCTTCATTGAGCACTCACTGAGTGCAAACTCCAGGCATTGTATACAGGACAGCAGGCTTTTCTGGGGTATGGTATGCAACCCCTGGGGCACATGGGATAACTTCAGACAGAACACGGAGAAACAGTTTTAGTAGTTTTATTTTCATTTTATGCTTGCCTCCTGTTTGTGGCAGGTAGCTTTGTTTTTCATCTACAATTATAAGTTCTTTTTCAATAAATATGAGTTTTAAACACTGACTGGATTTAAAGAAAAAGTATTTATTAAGTAAACACACAGCCGGTGCGTGGACATTACAAAGCTTGCAAGGAGAGATGCAAATGGCTGATGTTCAGGAAACACTGTGCAATGTTAGCACATAGACTTACACTTTATCTGCTGCTCTGCGGGCTGCCAGTAATAGACACTCATTCAAATCAGCTTAAGCAACTAAGTAAGGTGTCCGGACAAGAGACTCTCATGGGACACAATGGAAGGCGTGTAGAGGACAGTCACCCAGCAGGCCCCTGCAAGATCTGTCCCCTCTTCCCTCCATGCTCCTGTCATTTCTCCCTGCCTTCTGCTTTGCTCTGAAAATTTATTCTGTGAGCAGAGTCATTTTCTCTATCACAATCACGCAGGTGCAGTACTCCTGCACACACCCACCCCACTCCCCCTTCTCTCTCTGCCTCTCTGTCTCTGTCTCTCTGTCTCTGTGTCTGTGTCTGTGTCTGTCTCTGTCGCTCTCTCAGAGTTCGAGAGTCCATATATCTTAGGTGAGTGGTCTGCAAAGCCTGAAGCAGCATCCCCACATCCAGGTGCCACCCTTTACTGTTTCAGCCTCTACCGGAGGACTGAAGGGTCCACATTCTCAGTCAAAGGGAGGGTCTGGGATGCAGTCACCCTGACCAAGAGGTGCCTTTCTCGGCATTTGCTGCCCGAACACCTCAGGGAGGTAGGTTTTACCTCACAGGCAACAACACTAAGAGGTAGAAAATTGAGTCCCCAGCCACTCGGCAGGAAGTGACAAAGCCAAGACTGAACTTGGGTCTGTGTGACACCAACGCTTGAGTGTGCTGCTCTGGCCACCGGGTACGGTCACCATCAGCTAGAGCCAGTGCACAGCTACTCTCCCAGACCCAAGCAGGTTACTAGCCCCTGGGGAACTATGTATCAAAATTAGCAATCCAGTGTTGCCTGGCAGGCAGAAAAGTCCCAAATTAGTGCGACAATGGCTGGAAGGAAGTTCTCAGAGGAGCACTGGACACCCCATGTCTGAGGCCGCAGGGCTCACACTGCAAGTTCTTGGCTAAAGGAAGGAGAGCGTCTCATTTGAATGCTTATCAAAAATGACAGGCAGCTGTCTTAGAAATACTGGAGAAGCTGACACCCACCAGCCTGTGTAACTGTCCCTTCTATTTCCTGGAAATTAGGCAGAGAGGGCCTTCCAGAGAAGGAGCAGATTTTTCCCAACCAGAAACCTCAGGCTCTTTCCTGAGTAGGCGCTGTTCCCATGGAAGCCTCTGGACTTGCCCTGGCTGGTGTGCTCTCAAATTTTGCTTTAAAGAGACGTTCTGCCCCACTGAAGGTCTTCACTCAGGGTCTGTTAGTAAGGCAGGAAAATGAAGGAGAGGCTCTCTCTCTCCCAGCCCCTCAGGACTGACCCAAGCTTGAGGCAAATCCTGTGCAGGAAACAAGCTCATGTCTTAGCTTTTGCTCTGTTCATGTTTTCTTTTCTGTAGTTGTCATTTGGGACAGGTTTGCTGGCGGAATCAGAAGATTCTACCAGGCCACTTCCACTGTCTGAGCACTTGGGAGTCATTGCCTAAGGGCTTTAGGCTACTACCCTAGTAGGGCAACCTGGGAATGGCTCAGAGTCTGTCCCCTGACCCTCAGATTCCTCTTAGCTTCATCGGACCCAGAGGCTCAGGATCAGGTCATGATGTGTGCAAAGGGGGTGAAGGTACTCGTTCAAGTTCTGGATTTTCTAGCAGTCCAGCATGGCCATTGTCCCTGCCTGTGTGTGAGGTAGGCTTTATACTTCATGGGCCACCAGTGCCCAGGGAGGAGGTGACTACAGCAGATACCCCTTATGGAACAGAAGACTTTGGGCCTGACCCCAGCAAGCAGGAACTAATTTTTGATGGGATTGACAGGAGTGTGGTTGATTGGAATGGCCATTTCAGTGCCTGTGTCAGTGGTGACCCGGGAGCATTTCTGGCTGCTGCGCATGATATTAAGCTTTTCGCTGAGGTGCTTGCGGAACTTCTTGGTGAGGAAACAGTAGATGACAGGGTCTAAGACACAGTTGGTGCTAAGGAGGCAGAGGGTGACCTGATGTGCATCATTAATAGCCTGGTGGTTGCTGCTTGGCCACATCCCCAGCTCAGCCAGGGTCCAGGGCAGCTGTACCATGTGGTGTGGTACAAAGCAGATGACAAACACTGCCAGAACCGTGCAAACCATCCACAGCGCTCGGCGCCTGACCTCAGCATTGCGCTGCTGCTTCACTGGCTGCCTGAGCAGCGTGTGGATGATGACCAGGTTGCAGAAGAGGATGAGAAGGAAGACAATGAAGAAGCCGAGCACAATGCAGATATGGATGATGAGGACAGGCTTGCTGCCCTTCTCATAGTGCTCAAAGCAACGAGTAATGTTGCCCGAGCCTGCCTTATTGGACACTACGTTGGTGGAGTCCATGACAAGGAAGTAAGATGCAGCAGCCACAATGGCCACCCAGATGACCAAGGACAAAGCGATGCCTCGCTTGCGGGTGGTGGCCTGAGCAGTCTTGATGGGATATTTCACTGCCTGGAAGCGGTTATAGGTGATCACTCCCAGGAAGGCCACAGAGCAGTAGGTGTTGATGAAGAAGAGGCAGCCAGCCAGGTTACAAAGGAATTTGGGTAGAAACCAGTTGCCCTGGTTGGAATAGTAGACGATCCACAGAGGCAAGGTGATCAGGAAGAGCAGGTCAGCCACCGTGAGGTTCACCATGAAGATCTTTATCTCATTTAGTTTCTTGGAAGGGTATAGGCGGGCAAAGACCCATAGCACATAGCCATTGGCGATGATCCCCAGCACAAAGATAATGCTGTAAACAATTGGGAAGAGTGTGTATCGAAACTCAGAATCCACCCGGGAAGAGCTGTTTAACTCCATGGCTCTGGGCTGCAAGAGTCAGCTCCTCATAGGGTCCTGGCAGTGCCTGGAAGATCATGTAAAGATTCTGGTTAATAAAAAGCCAAGAAGCAACTATTTACTTTACCAATTCCAATAGTTCTTGCTATAGGTTGAATGATAAAATCCCCCTTTTAAAAAATTCACATTGAGGGAATGGAGATTTAGCTCAGTGGCATAAGCTTCTGCCTTGGAAGTGCCAGGGAGTTCGATCCCTGGTACCAATAAGAACAAAAACAAAAAATTCACATTGGAACTTAATCCCCAGTGCAACAGTATTCGGAGATATGATCTTTAGCAAGTAAGGAAGGGAGACTCCTCACATATAGGATCAGTACTCATATAAAAGGGCTCAGGGGGAAAGAAAGTGCTCTAAAGGATATAACTGTATATATGTTTAAGTGTGCAAGATAGATAACCATACTACTAAGTTTTTGTTAGTTTATCAAACAGAATGGTTTGTACTGTCCTTGTTTAACTGTCCACTTTTTATGCTTTGATTTTGCAATTTGAGCAACTCCTTCTAAGATAACAATATGTAATTTATCAACTAATGATTTCTTACTGTCTTTTCTTTAAAATTCTGTATTATTTCTACCCTTTTTTCTGTTTTGCTTTTTTTCTCTAAATAAATAAATAAAAGGGCTCAGGGCTAAAGAGTACATTTTCTTTTGACCTTTGTTTTTCTAATTCTTCTACTATGTAAGGACACAGAGTACCGGGAAGTTGGAAGCAAATACCAGGCCTCATCCAGACACTGAACCCTGATTTTGAACCTCTAGAACAGTGAAACTTAGATTTCTGTTCTTTGTAAATTATCCAGTCTCAAGTATTTTGTTATAGCTGTGAGGCAGGAGATTAGGGCATGGCCAGCTGTCTGGACGATCATGACCTGTTAATCACTGAGCTCCAGGACACTGAGCTCCGGGACACAGAGCTCTTGCACTTGAGATCAGTCGAAAAATACTGTCTGCAATTGTTCTGGCATGAAATCAACCAAGTTTTAAGAGAATGTCTTAGATCTGATGTTGGAATAAGGACTACAAAGATGGCCAAAGTTAACCTTGTGGCCACTACAAGCTCTTTCAGTGGCCACTCACCCTACAGAATGTACTTTTCCTACTTTAGTTGGCCTGAATTCACTGCAGAGGGTATTTCTTTTTCTCGCCATTAGTAAATATAAAACTTACTATCTTTTTTTCTTGTTTTATCCAATTTTTTGTTTAGGACAAGAACCTGGAAAGAATCTCCAGAAGGAGCCCACTGAATTCTAGAACCCCGGTAACAGCAGCATTAACAGACTAAAAGACACTCATTTTGCATATTTTTAAAACTCTAAATTAAATGAGGTCTTCCATTCTACATAAAATAATACGCTTTTTGGGGCTAGGGATTTAGCTCAGTGGCATAAGCATCTACCTTGCAAGCAGGCAGTCGTGAGTTCGATCCCTGGTACCGATAAAAACAAAAAAGACGAAAAAAAATAATAATAATATGCTTTTACAAATCTATGCATAAAATCTGTATTATAAAAACTTTAATTTTATGGTACAATTTGAATATTTTACTATAGATTTGAAATTTAAAAAACTAAGAGTAAATTTGTTCTGTATTAAAAACTAATTCAGCTGGGCATGGTGCTACACACTTGTAATCCCAGCAGCGGGGTGGCTGAGGCAGAAGGATAGCTATCAGTTTGAGGAAAACCTGAGCTACATAGTGAATTCAGGGCCAGCCTTGAACTGCACAGAGAGACCCTGTCTCAAAAAAATAAAAATAAAAATAAAGAAAACTAATTAAATCAGGCATAGTGGTGGACATCTGTAATTCCAGCACCTAGAAGAAAAGCACACGGTCACAAGTTTGAGATCAGCCTAGGCTACATAGAGAGTTTCAGGCCAGCCTGAACTACATGGCAAGACTCTTTCAAAAAAGCGAAAACAAGTAAATAATTAAACTAAAATTAATTTAGAGATTTGAGCTCAGTGGTAGTGCTCTTGTCTAGCATGCATGCAACCCTGTGCTCAAAAATAAATAAATAAATAAAAATAAAGTCACATACAATTTCAGTGTGGCTAGCAGGTCTAACCAGTCCAGCCCTAAGTTAATTTAAAAGAAATAAATTATATACTCATAAAAAGCCTGGAAATAAGGAGAAATATAATATTAGAGTTATTTAGAGAATAAAATATTAGCCAGTCATTAGAACGAATGATTTGGGTCTCATTGCACTGACATGGAAAGCTGACCTTGGATAACACCATTACATAATAGAAGAAACTATAAGTTACAGCAGTTGTAACGGAGTATGAACAAAAACATCTAGCCAGTCACACTTTCGTTGGCAGTAGGAAGTAGCCTCTGGGAAATAGCCTTCATGAGAAGTTTATTTAATTTATCTACTCTAAATAGGTTTAGGGAGAAGTTTATTTACCCTAAATAAACTTTTTTGGGAACTTTTTAGGAACACTTACTATCTTAGGAATTTTTAAATTTTTATCTATGTTTATATTTTGGCTGTGCAGGGGGTTGAATGCAGGGCCTTTGCCCTGAGTTACAACCTCAGCCCTTTTTAAATTTGTTAAAATTTAACAGAAGATCTCACTAAGTTTGGTAAGTTGCCACCATGAACTACATAGCGAAACCCTGTCTCAAAAAACAGAAACAGAAACAAAACAAAACAAAAAATACCCCAAACATATCACAACGTAATGAATACAGAAGCAGATGCAAGAAGTCAGCTGTCTTCTAGCAAACCTAACATTAAAGAGATTTATAAACAATGTAAATCAATGTCAATTTTCCCTAAATGATTTGTTTTAGAAAATCTCATTTTTTTCCCAAAATATATATTATTTACATTAGGATAAAAAGGGTTTATCATTGGATTTGTTCATGTAAAAATGGAGTTATTTCAGAATGTCAGTTGTTAATTTTTTTTTTTTTTAAGGCTAGGAATGGGACCCAGAGCAGGCAAGCATTCTTCCCTAGCCGTAGGTTTTTTTTTGTTTGTTTTCGTTTTTTGAGGATTTTTGGATTTTGTTTGTTTTTGTTTTTTTGTCTTTTTCCTTTTTATTGGTACCAGGGATCGAACTCACAACCGCACACTTGCAAGGAAGGCACTTATGCCACTGAGCTAAATCCCCAGTCCCTGTTTGTTTGTTTTTATGGTACTAACCATTGAACCCAAGGAGGTGCTCTAAACCTGAGCTTTTTATTTTATTTTTATTTTTGTTTCATTTTGGCTTTTTTTTTTTTTTTAGAGACAAAGTTTCCTTATGTAGCTCGGGCTGGCCTTGAACCCACTATGGAGCCCAGCTGGCCTTGAATTTGCTGCAGTCCTTCAAAGGCTGGAATTACAGGCTTGGGTCACTACACTTGATTTATTTTTTTATTTTGAGACAGGATCTTGTTAAATTGCCCAAATTGGTCTCAAATTTATAATTCTCTTGCCTTAGCCTCCCAAGTTGCTGGGATTATAGGTGTGTGCCACTATACCAACCTAGTTTTAGTTCTTAACACTAGACACTGATAGATATGACACATAGCTACAAGCTCTTTGGGCCCTCATAATTTTCAAGGGTAGAAAAAATGCCTGGAAGCAAAAAATTTGAGTATCACTACTCAACAGTCTCAGCTTTCCTTTGATTTGACTCCAAGATGCCCACTTGTCTGTGACAAGCCTTGTTTCTCCCTCAGACTGGGCTCTCACAGAATTACAGTGTATTAGGATCAAGTCTCACTAAGCCTACGTCACCCTCCCATGGCTGGAGCATGGAGATACTTCTGGCCTGGCAGTTTCTGAGAGGTGTGAGGTGCAGGCAGCCCTAGCTGGCCAGGAAAAGGTACTCAGTTGGGGTCTTCAGGTAGGTCATGTCCCTGCCCACCACTGGTGGCGCAAGTGCTCAGTGGGGTGAGATCATCCTTCTCAGAAAATTTCCCACCATCCAACCCAAACCAGGACATCCAGGCCCTGCCACCTCACCATGCCACCTGGGCCTGTGGAAAAGGTCTTTTCCCCAGGGTCAAGGTGAGGCAGGGAGCCACCCACTAGGTGCAAAGTTTAATGTGGAACCAAATTTTCAGCAATCAAGATAGATAATATTGGTGGGAATTTAGCTCAGTGGCATAAGTGCCTGCCTGGCACGCATGAGGTCATGAGTTCAATCCCTGGTACAAAAAAAAAAAAGATAATATTTTAATGCAATATTTTTTAAAAGCAAAAGGAATATTACTATTTTTTGTTTCAGCCTCTCCTATGGTTCTGCCTTCATTTAAAGTTTTAATATTGGGCTGAGGAGGTAGCTCCGTGGGTAGGGCACTTGCCTAGGATGCACAAGGCTCTAGGGACAATCACAGTACCACCAAGTAAATACATAAAACTTTGAGGCTTTTGAGATAGACAGGGTGATCCACACAAGTAACCCCAGCTACTCCAGAGGGTGAGGCAGGAGGATCACAAATTGGAGGCCAGCCTGGGATATTTGGCAAATTTAGTGTCAAAAATTAAAAGGGTCAAGGACATCGTCTAGCATGTGTGAAGCCCTTGGGTTGAGTCTCCAGTACTTGCCAAAGATTTTTTTAAAATATATTTTTAATATGGATATTTGTTGCTTCAATTTTGATTCACAAAGATAAAAACTCTCAGCATGAGATCAGCACATGGGGGTCCCAACTCGCCAACGCACCCACTGGACGAGGCCTCGGCTCCCAACTTGGAGAATCACACCGTGGTAGAGGCGTGATGAAGGACACAGGGGTGTGGTGGGAATTCAGAGATGTCCCCTGTGACCCCATCTCGAGACTGAGCAATGGCCTCCACCCTGAGCTGAGGGAGGGCAGAACCCTGAGCTAATAAGGGGCACATGCAGAGGGGACTCTGCTGCAGAGGCCTGAGAGGGCGGGAGAGGAGGCACCTTGGCCTGTGAGTTTGCGACATTCACTCACTTTAGCTACAACGCAAAGTCCAAGGTGGGTGAAGCGAGAAAGAGCGAAGCAAGTGCCTACAGGTCCATTCAGAAAGGGGCTTGCATCTCAGGCAAAAGGATGTGTACAGATGCCCCCTGACTTACAGTAGCTGATGAACCCACCATTACCCAAAACCAGCATCAATGAAAATTCATCTACTGCGCCTAACCTAGGGCACGTATTAGCTTAACAACACCGCACCCAGGAGCTTTGTGTGGCTCTTGTGGCTCATGCTGTGCCTGGCTTTGTGAGAGAGTGTCACATTCAAAGTCATCAAGCAGCAAATATCAAAATTCAAACTTCAAAGTAAGGTTCCTACTGGTGCACATCACTTTAGCACCACAGTAAGGTTGGAAAAAGTCTCAAATCGAGCCAGCATAAGTCAGAGACCATCTGTACTTCATTCTGTAGAAAATGAGGAGTCATTAAAGGGTGCTGAGTATGGAAGGAGCCAGACTGGATCTAAGGGGCTGGGGATTTAGCTCAGCGGCATAAGCACCTGCCTTGCAAGCAGGCGGTCGTGAGTTCGATCCCCAGTACCGATAAAAAGAAAAAAGAAAAAAAAAAAAAAAAAAAGACTGGATCTGGGTTTGGGGAAGACGGCTCTGACACCTTTGCTGCATACAAAAAAGAAGGGGTGGGGTGGGGTCAGAGAAGAGGCAAGAGGCAGCAAAGAGACAGCTGCGATTGTCCAAAGGAGGCTTGGCCATGGCTGAGTGGATGGACAGAGCACGGTGACAGATGGGGTGCTGGCTGAGAGAAAGGGAGGAAGCAAGGGCAGCCTCAGGTGCCCAGGACTGTAGGGTCTGACCAGGAGGAACGGAGGGGGGCTGGGGAGGGGGAATACGTGCGGGACACCAACGTGCGGAAATAACCAAGGGGAAAAGAGTTGAATGCTGAAGAGCCTAAATTTAAAGTTCAAAGAGGAGAAGAAAGCCACAAAGGAGGCTGAGACAGCATAGCCCAAGGGTGGGAGGAGAGCCAGGTCTCCACACCGGAGATCTAGGAGAACAAAGTCCCGAGACCATGAGAGCGAGTAGCCAGCGGTGTGGAAAGCACGAGGAGATCAGCAACCAGAAACGCAAATTCTGGGTGAGTCAGTCTGAGGTCTCCAGAGGGAGAGAGGCAACGAGGAGGAATGCCAAATTCTCATTTAAATTCATTCAAGAACTCTAATTCTGTGTATGGACTTTGAACTGAACACATTGGAATTTTTTGTTTGCTTTTCTCTTTTTTTCCCAATGGGGCTTCACTGTGTAGTCCAAGCTGGTTTCAGCCTCCCAAGTGTTAGGAATGTAAGTGTGTGCTCCTGTGCCCTCACTTTGAGAAAACTAATTTTTAGACAATTAAAGAAACTAGAACATAGTCTAAGTATTAGATAAAATTAAGAAAATACTATTGACTTCCGGGAGAACATGGCAGATAGATAGCAGCAGCTTCAGAGGCTCTCTGAGAAACCACACTTAAAATCCAGGCATGGTGCCAGGCGAGAAATCCTAAGCAAGGGGAGATACACTTTGCCGACCCAGGAACCAAATAAACTAAGAGAAACCAACTGGAAATGCAATCCCGGTGATACAACAAGAACAGATAAGGTCTCAGCACGGAAGCTGGACTCCGCACCACTGGAAGCTGCGATTTGAATTTCTGCAGCTGCTGCTGCGTCTCTATCCACACGGCAAGGAGAGAGGTGCAAAAGCTCTGAGGGTGGGAAGCGGTGAATGCAGTTGAGAGCAGGACTGGCTGGGAGCCCTGCATCGACCTGCAGTGAGTAAGCAGATCGGGGATCCTTTCATAGAGTAGGAGGCTTCAGCAAAGGACATGCTGGGACCGGGCAGACTACCCGAAACAGGATGCTGCAGTGACTTCAATCACATATTCCCCTCTCAAGCGGGATTGGTGGGGAGTGCCTGGCCTGTGTGACGCTGCTAAGACCCAGTATGCTAGCCCAAACCAGATCCCAGCACCTGGAGGTGCACCCTAGCAGTGAAGCCTTCGGTAGGTTGACCTGGAGGGGCGGGCCCAGCATAAGCTGCCCAGGTTTGTGTCTCCCTAGTACACTGCAGTGGGTGGGAACACCTAGCCGGTGCAATTCAAACAAACTGTAACTGACAAAGAAAGAAATGGAGCCTCCTATATACGCTTGTATATAAGGAACAAAAAAATATGGGAAGAGGGAGCAACAAGAAAGGGTCCTCAGCCCCCAATCCTGAGAAACATGCAATATCAGACACGGCACCAATAGACATAAAGCGCTATCTCCAAAACCTCATAGACGAGTTCAGGAATGAAGTTATTAATGACCTGAAGCAAGATATAAGTAGAATAGTTAGAGATATGCTAAGCACTGCCCAAGAAAAAACATATGGTAGAATGGAAGAACAGAAAAAAAGGGGAGAATTATTTGATGGAGAAAATAAAGAAAACATAGAATATGTGAAGCAGGTTCAAAGAGATTACCAGGAAACTAAAAACTCTATCGAAAACTGGCATAACAGCTTGAAAGAAACTAAGGATAGATTATCTGAATTGGAGGGCAGATTTGTAATATGGGAGCATGAAATGAAAAACTTCTTAAAAATAACAAGAAAACAAACAGCAATAATACAAAGGCTAGAAGATGATAAGAGGATCTATAACTTAAGAATTAAGAACATAAAAGAAGTAGGGACACAAACAAATGGACTACAAAAGCTATTCACAGAAATAATCCAAGAGAATTTCCCTAATTTAGCAAAAGGTAAAGATACTCAGATGTATGAGGCATACAGGACCCCAGCCACCTACAACCCAAACAGAGCTACACCCAGGCATATAATAATCAAAATTCCAGAAATCCAATATAAGAACAGAATACTAAAAGCCGTCAGAGACAAGAAACAGATCATTTACAAGGGAACACCCATCAGAATTACAGCAGACTTCTCAGCACAAGCCATCAAATCATGAAGAGCGTGGGGGGAAATAATTCAAGCTTTGAAAGATAATAACCTCCAGCCAAGATTGATATATCCTGCACAACTGTCCCTAGAAATTGATGGAAAAGCAAGGTACTTCCAGGATAAAGGGGAACTAGGGGAATTTGCAACCACCAATTCAACTCTTCAGAGAATACTGCAGGATATTCTAAAAAAGGAAATTATCAGGATTCCAGAAATAGTGGCAGAGAAGCCACATGAATGGAGCAAAAAGCGAAATGAAGAAGACAAACTGACAGCAAACGACAGAAAAAGAGCTCAACAGAAATAAGGCAGAGAAGATTGGATGGTAAGAACAGCTATTTTGGAGAAAACAAGATATCATAATAGCAGTGCTGATTTAGTATCATCTTGTTTTGAAGTCCATTCAAAGTTGTATTCTTCTGTCTCCATCGGTCTTAAAAGGTTGTATCTTATTGGATTTTATTATATATGATAATATAAGTAAAAACTTTTATAGACAAGGAGATTATACAGAAACAATTGTTCATTTCCTGTTAATTGGTTCTAAATACCCTGTGATAATGTCATTCTCTTGAATGGTTTTACAGTGTCTTGATATGTTTGGTGCTACAGTATACGAAGTTATACTCAAAGATTTCAAGGAAAAAGACACTATGGTAACTATTTTTATGTCAGGATATCTTGTGGTGAAACACTATTTTGCTTAAATGGTTATGTTTTGACCTGCGCTGTTCTGTTGTTATGCCCTCTTTTATCTCAATCCCTTTTTTTAATTATTTACTTTTTTGTTTGTATCTTTTTAATTAAGGGAAAAATAAATTTAAAATAGCAGGATATATTATAGTAATCTACTTTGATTTCCTATTAACTTGATTTGAAATCCTGTATTGCCCTCACCATCTTGTTTTGACTGATTTTCCCCTATTCTGCTTTGCTTAATAGTACCAAGTTCGAAAGTATAGGCAAAACTGTGAAGACAATAAGAATCATTATGATGCCCATTCTGGTTGACTATTATTTTCTTTTAAAGTCCTGTAATGTCTCCAGTGCTTTGGTTTTATTCTTTACTGTTTTGTTCAATTTTATTATAACTGGCAATTCTTCTTAAAATAGCAAGAGGCAGTATGGTAATCATTGTTGATTACCTTATATTTTGTTTTTTACATTATCTATTATGTCCATCCTTTTGATTTGACTGACTCTGTTCTGATATGTCGCATTTGGTTTTACTCTCTTCAAAAAAAGTAGTAAGAACTGTGGGAGTAATAAAACCCAAAATGTGTAATTGTCTCTGTACAAAAGAAAAGAAAAGAAAGTGCTCTAAGCATTATAACTGTATATATGTTTAAGTGTATAAGATAGATAACCATATTACTAAGTTTTTTTGGATCATTGAACAAAACTGTTTGCACTCTCACTGTTTGAAGGTCCACTTTGTATGCTTCAGTTTTGTAACTTAAACAACTGTTTCTGGGATGAGAATGTGTGATCTATTAGCTGGTGATTTCTTACTGTTTGTTTTTTAAATTTTGTATTACTTGTACCCTTTTTTGGTTTTTTTCTTTTTCTCCTTAAAGAAAAAAAAAGAAAATACTATTAATTTTGCTAACTTAAATATATGCTTAGCAGCACAGTGCCTGCCTGGCAAGCATGAGGTCCTGAGTGCAATTCCTAGTACAAAAAAAAAAAAAAAATTATATAAATGATAAGTAATTTTGTTATATAGGATGCTATGATTTTTAAAGCCCTTACCTACTAAATTCACATGCTAAAAGTATTTACACGTGAAATTATTCAAATTTTTTTAAATTTACAAAAAGAAATTCTACAAGACTTGGCATTTGCTTTAAGATACTCCAGGATCTGAAAAAGACAAAAAAAAAGGAAAAAAGAAAAAAGAAGGGCTGGGGATTTAGCTCAGCAGCGTAAGCACCTGCCTTGCAAGCAGGCAGTCGTGAGTTCGATCCCTGGTACCGATAAAAACGAAAAAGAAAAAAGAAAAAAAAAAAGATGCTCTGGGATCTGTGCTCACAGGCTCATCTTCAGCTCAGGTCGGCTTTCCAGAAGCGCCCCCTGGGGGAATGTTCCCTTAGGTGTACCTCACTCCAAGCCCGCAGTCCATGTGGCCTCTGTCAGGGTCCCAGGAGAGGGAGGCTGCTTCCTTCCAGCTGCAGAATCAGTGGCTCGTCTTGGAAGGAGCCCCTGCTTTGCCAAAGCCATCGCCCTTGGAGCCTCTGGGGTCCAACACGTGCTTTTCCCATTCCTGCTAATCTGATCAGTCCGGGGTCCTGGTCCCCATATGACTCCTCCCTTGTCCCTCGCCCTAAACTTATTGCCCAGTGGACTGTGTGTCAATGAAACCACCCAAAATCAAACCAGTAGGGTCTCCGCTGGCCCTGCGGGCTCCCAGAGAGGCTGTTCCCACTGTTTCGGGTGCCTGTTATGCAGGGGATCCCTTCTTTCTCCTCCCGGCCTGGTTGACTCCCAGATCTCTTTTTAAGACCGCTCAAGCCTCCGTTCCTCTAGGTCAGTGGTGGTGAAACTATAGCACATGAGCTGCAGCGGCATGCACAGCCCGCAAGCCGGTGAGCCAGGAGTATGATTTTTTCCTAAACTAAAACCTCAATAAAATAAAATAATAAAAATAAACTGAAACCTCAGTGTTCAGGTTTGACTGCGGTGTTGGTACTTTGCGATTAAAAGAAAATGGGTTCCAGGTTGCAGTTTGGGCACTCGGTCTCTAAAAGGTTCGCCATCACTGCTCTAGGTTATTTTTCTTGGTCTCTCCGCCTCCTGCACACTTGCCTCACCAGGGCCTGGTTAGGACTGGGTAAGGAGCTACTTAAAACAGAATGCTCAGGGATGGTGCCTTGGAGACGCAACATCTAAATAAAACTTGAAGAAAAAAAAATAACTTGAGGCAGATTTACTGCCAAGTCCTGGATGCTTAAGATTCCATGTTCTATATCTAACTGTGTATTTGTAATTTGGTATTTTTTCCTCAGAGAGGGTCCCCTCAGGTTGTTTAAGCTTCGGGAATCTGTAAAACCTGGGTCTTCCCCCAGCTGAAATATAAAAAGGAAGAAGGAACAAGTCAGGGGCAGATCCAGGAAGGATATTCCTGGCACATATCTGATGTGCAAAGGTCCTGCAGTAGGAATCAGTTTGCCATGTTCTGAGGCAGGGATGAGTCTGTTATGATTAAGGAACTGAAAGGTCAATGAGGCTTGGCCCTGGGGAAGTGAGGAATGGGAACAATGGGATGAGATCAGAGGCAGGCACCAGGCCCTGAATGGCTCCTCTGTCCCAATAAGGAATTTGCCTTGTGTTCTATGAGGATCAAAGACACCATCGCAGGGTGGATGAGTGCGCAACTAATGTGATCAGCTCTCTGTAGCTTTTGAGTAGGGAGGAGAAGGCAAGAGGTAAGGCAGAGAGAGAGACCACTTTGAAAGTAAGGAACAGAGCCTGGCATGGTGGTATACACCTTGTAATCCTAGGCGTGAGGGAGGCTGAGGCAGGACTGCTACAAGTTTGAGGCCAGCCTGGACTTCACAGTAAGCTCAAAGCCATCTTGAACTACATAGGGAGTATCCTGTCTCAAACAAACAAACAAATAAATAAAGAGACTCTGCATTTTAACAAGATTCCCAGGTGATTTGCGCACACACTACAGTCTGAGAAGTGCTATGCTCAGCACACGCCAGCTGCATACTCCCTGGATCTAACAGCTGTCATGGTTCCTTCTTTCCCACCTCATGTCCCACAGTTCCCTGCAGCTCATCCTTCATCCTAGCCATGTTGTCATATTAAACACCTTGCTACCTCTGTAAAAATTCCATTCTTGGGCCAGGGGTTTAGCTCGGTGGCATAAGTGCCCGCCTGGCAAGTGCAAGGTTGTGAGTTCAATCGCCGGTACCAAAAGAAGAAAAAAAAAATCTAATGTCAGTGCCTTTACACGCGCGTTGTGCCCAATGTTTTACCTAGACAAGTCTTACTCACCCTTTAAGACCTAGTCACAGGCAGGATGGCCTCCTCTGGATCACCACAGCTGAGGATACAGTGGCTACATCCTTCAGGGTAGCATCTGACTTTTTTTTTTTTTTCCTTTTTATCTGTACCGGGGATCGAACTCACGACTGCCTGATTGCAAGGCAGGCACTTATGCCGCTGAGCTAAATCCCCAGCCCGACTTTTTTTTTTTTTTTTTTTTTTTTTTTTTGCACCCGGGGACTTCATATTAAGCTTTATCCTTGGCTCTTTTTCATCTTTTCTTTTTGAGACAGGTATCACAGAGCTTCTCAGTCTTGCCACAAACTGGCCATCTCCTTGCCTTTGCCTCTCCGGGTGCTGGGATCACAAACATGCACCACCACATTCAGTTAACATGTTCTAACTACTGGCTTCTGTGGTTATTTTCTTCCAGGCTTGGAACTTCTTGAGAGCATGACTTGATCTTTTTCTTTCTTTACTTTCACTGGAGTGAATAAACCACTGACAACAGTTCAAGGAGCTTGGCACAGAGATATGAGTATATAGCCCAGGCATGGGGGTGCACACCTGTAATTCTGGAACTCTAGGAGGCTGAGACAGGAGGATTGTAAGTTCAAAGTCAGTCTGGGCTATTTAGAAACTTAGTGAGACACTGTCTCAAAACAAAAAACAAAAATGGGCAGGGATGTAGCTCAGTGCAAAGCCCTGGGTGCAATCCTCAGTCCAGGTATGGGAGTGGGTGTGAGAGGAGAAGCAATTTGGAAGTGGGCTGGGGCAGGAAAAAGGGCTCACCATTTACTTGCTATAAAGTGCTTTCACTTCTCTGAGTCTCTAGTTCCTCACTTGCAAAATCTTACCATCTTAACAATGGTTCTAAAGATAGGAATGCCAAGTGGCCAGAACAGGACCTGAACCACAGATGGCCAGGCTTCTCACTACTGGTGCAGCTTCTTGGAACCAGAAGAACAGATCACATATGGAACTACAGACCTAGGAACTCTGACCCACACCACACAACCTTTCCCACCAGCTCCTGAGAGAGCTTCAGGCTAATGCCAACAAAGCTTTCAAAAGCTTTGGAAGAGGATGAGCGTTTGGAGCAAGGAAGTAGAGGCTCAGACCACTCTGCTTCACAGTCTGTCCCGCCCCCACCCCATGAACATTCCCTGCCCCTTGGGGCTCCCGTCCACTGCTGGAGGCCAGAGGGGTGAAACCATCAAGAACTAGCAGAGGAAAGCGTACACTGGTTAATTCATCAGACTGTGGGTCACCAATCATAAGAGCGCCTAACATTTGTGAAATCAATTAAAGTCAAAAATAAAAATGTCTAAGAATTTTTTCTTCATTTTTTAAAATACCTAATATAAGAAGAAAAAAAGACAGAAATCTCTAAATTCTCGTAGCTACAAATCAGATACACACAAATTCATCTACATGTCTTATACCAGCAGCTCCTTGAGGCTCTATAAGCCTGAGCGTGCATTTACCAACAGAGCATGGGCTAGAAGCTGGGGTACAGGGACACACGTAAGTTCCATATGGACACACCTGCTTAGATTCAAGGACTCTATGCTCTGTAGGGAATGAACAGATGAAGAGGAGCCGGAGAGAGCCCACTTAAACTCAGAGCTCTAGGCATGACTAAATAGTGAAATGTACAGACATTTCTTTCCCATGACCATATTTTCCTGCTCACATTAGTTTTACAAGATGAGATTTCCACCCATTTTTCTAGAGAAGACGTGCATTTTTTCCAGGGAAAAAAAACTGAGATTGGAGGATGGAACAGACTTGACCATAGTCTAAGAAGTGGCAGGTCAGGAATGTTGAACTCCAAAGATCAAAGACCACTGCTTAGCCAAGCTGTGGGCCTGCTGGACACCAGCAGCTCCTTAGCTAGCTCTTGTATTCACAGGCCTCTCCAGGGCCTGACTACAGGAGCTCCAGGTGCTGTAAAGCACCAGAAAGAGATGCTGTTGGCTTGAGATTTTGCTTTTTACCCTAACTCACTGAGTCAGGAAGGAAATAGTGCAAAAGGACTAAGAAATCTGCTCTGGTAACCCAGGAGCTGGCATCAAACCTCTCTCTCAACCCACAAATTAATTATGACCCTGAGTCTCCATTTATTTACTGGACAAATGAAAATTTTTAAATGGGCCTAAAAGGAAAACAAAGAATACAATACTATTTTCAATAGAATCCAAAGGTATAAAACACTCAGGAATAAGTTTAAACAAGGAAGCAAAAATATTGTACACTGAGGCTGGGAATTTAGCTCAGCGGCATAAGTGCCTGCCTTGCAAGCAGGTAGTCGTGAGTTCGATCCCTGGTACTGATAAAAACGAGAAAAAAAAATATTGTACACTGACAGCTATAAAACATTATTGAAAGAAATTTAAGACAGCACAGCAAAATAGAGTAATATACCATGTTCATGGCTCAAAAAACCTAATGTTGTTAAAATGTTCCTATTACCCAAAACAATGTATAGATCCAATGAATTTTTAAATTTCACTGCTATCTTTTACAGAAACAGAAAAACATACAAAATTCAGATGGAATTTCTTGTTTTGCTTTTTGTATCAGGAATCGAACTCATGACCACACGCTTGCCAGGCAGACACTGTGCCACTGAGCTATATCCCTGGCCCTAAATTTTTTATGTTTGCTTATTTTTATTTTGTTTTTCAGATGAAATTTCAAAGGATCCCAAACAGCCAAAACAATCTTGATAAAGAACAAAACTAGAGGCTTCATGCTGCCTCATTTCAAAATATTACAAAGCTATAGCAACCAAAACAGTATGGTATTAGTTTAAAGATTGATCAATACAGAACCCAGAGATAAACCTTCATGTACATGGTCAGATAGTCTTTGCAAGGTACCAAGACTACACAATGAGGGAATTATAGTTTCTTCAACAAATGGCACTGGGGAAACTAGACATGCTCTTGAAACAAAAAGATTGAATCTAACATTAAAGCATATACAAAAAAAATTAACTTAGAATAGATTAAGGACTTGAAGTTATAAAATTCCTAGAAGAAAACATAGAAGGGTTAGGTACACAGGTCAGTAATAGAGCACTTGCCCAGCATGCATTAGGCCCTGGGTTCACGCTCCAGAACTGGAGAGACAGAGACAGAGAGAGAGAGAGAGAGGAAACAGGGCCAGGAATATAGCTCAGCAGCAGAAATGCCTGCCTGGCAAGTGCAAGGTCCTGAGTTTGATTCATGGTAAAAAAATAAATAAATTGAAAAAAATTTTTTAAAAGAAAACACAAGAGGAAAGTTCCATGAAATGATTCAGGGATCTTGACACAAGAGTGGAACAAAAACTCCATCCATGCCATACTTTGCAAAAAATTAAATGGAGTGACTGCTCCCTGATGATAGTAGCAGCTGTGTTTGTGCTAACAGAGGAAGTCTTAACTCTCCCATTAGGTCAGAGCTATTCTGGAGACAAAGGTTACTTGTGGTTAATGGGAACTGCTTACCCAGTATGAAGCCATGCTTTTGGGCATCCCTGAAGTTATTATAAAAACTTGTCCTACCCTTACCCTGCCTCTTTGATGCCTACAAGCCCAGAAGTTAGCCCCTCTTGTGAACAAATGATCTATAAAAGCGGGCAAGGTCCTTAAGGAGGTGTGGTTTATTGATGAAAGTTATCTTTGTCCAAGAAGGACATTTGAGATATTATATGGGAGGCCATTTCTACCCACTGATAGGAAGCCCAGAGACCATGAGACTCTTAAAATATCTCATTAATCTGGGCCAAGTACAAAAGGCTATCCAAATGTCCAGGAATGAGTCCTTCCAGCTGCTCGCCCAGGGGAGTTCACCTACTCTCTGCCCCGGAGAACAAGTGCTCTTAAAAACTTGGAGGGCTGGGGATACAGCTGTGGTAGAGCTCTTGCCTTACATGTAGAAGGCCTTGAATTCAATTCCCATCACCACCAAAAAAAAAAAAAAAAAAAAAAAAAAACCTTGGAAAGGCACTCCTGTAGGCCAATTAGATTACAAGCAAAAATCGAAGGGCCCCTTTTAGTAATCTTTGCCATGCCCACTGCAGT